ATTTATCAATCTGTAATAAAAGACGTGAGGAAATTCTGTCTTCTTTTAAAGACAAAAATTTTTGAGGCGAAATACCCAAAAGGAAATTCCAAAAGGGAATTTCTAATTAGACGTACTAAAATAGATCAACAATTCACTTGAAATGCGAAAATAAGTATCTAAATGGAAGGTCGGACCACTTGCAACCTTTTAAGGCGCTATCCACTATACCACCACAAAGTAATAAATAAAATTCACCTACCTTTAGGCACTTTAGTCTGGATTCTGGGGTATTATTAACTTTAAAGGCAGCAAAAATTTAATTTACAACGGAAAAACACTCATAAATTAAATAATTAAAATTGACCATCGGAATCGTTGAAAAATTGAGCAAAAAGGCTAAATTTTACAAATCTGAGCAATCCCCATTAATTATAACATAACCCTTTAGTTTTGAATGTAATTTATGACACAAAAACAGCAACAAATAGTCTTCCATAGAAAATTGCGAGTTAATGTTCAAAATCTAACTTTAATTTAGTTTTATAACAATAAAGTAAAAAATTGCAAAAACCCAATACAGAATCCAAATCCCCCTCCTCGAAGAAATATTAAATGCAACAATATAACAAATTACAAGTCAATAATATGGGACCAAAAGTTCTAAAACTATATGGCAACCAGCGGCAAAGTAAAGCCAAACTTACCGAAAGCTGCATCGTGCCACCTGGAAAGAAATAGAAAAGTGTTTAGTAATAAATATTTCCTGTTAAAATAAAATCTGTTCAAAGTCATGTTATTGAAATCAGCAAAACAACAAAAAGAGAAATGTGAATAATCCATAAAACTTCAGTTGCGTTTCGAAAAACTAAACTCATTTCAAACTGAAGGATTAGAAATCAGCCGTACCGGCTTTCTGCAAGTGCCCTTATCCTTCATTTTCTACCCATTAATCGGCAAAAAGCACACACACTACAGTTGATCACACAATGAAAATTCATTTCGAATCATAAACTTTCCTTAAGGGTAACAATGAACGAGATTCACACGACACAAATATTTTAAGGCATTCTGTAATAAACTGGATATTCACACCGAAAAAACTCATGCGATGTCGAAATTTTGCCGCAGTCGGTAGAAACTGAGCTCCAGAACCAACCTAATGATCTGTCCAACCATTTACTTGTTCGCCTTTTGGATGAGTCATTGAGTTGTTTACTTTGCTGTTCAATTTAAATTTTTTTACTAATGACTATTTTGTAGAAAGTGCCTGTACGCACGACAAGTTTGGAAATAGCCGTAAACAAACTCGCTTTGTCAGCCAAAGATAAACAAATCCGGCGCATTAAACTTTTTTATGCGAAATTTTCGATGTACTGATATGTAATAACGATCGACTATCGAATCAGTAATTTCATTCAATTTTTATGAAGTTTTGAGCTTCAGCTGATATTTTAGGTAAAGGCTTGTTGAATGAGGGAGGAGCTCACATTCAATTTATCAATGCTTCTTTGCTCGCATCATTGTCAGCTACGGAAAACTTAACTTCATTTCGACACGTGTTCACCTCTGAGTCTTTGGGAGATTTTCATAAAACTTTGGGCTTTTATAGCTTGACATGTCGTTAAAACAATGCCTTAATGGCAGATCCACATTCGGTCCAGGTCATGATTTTGGCATATTTCTCGTTGCTCGTACAATTTTTTAATTCGGTTAACCTTTTGACCATTCTGGATAAATAAATTTGGTTTAAGAAAGATTTGCAAATAAAACTTGACGGGTCCGAGATTTTTTTCAAAAACAGTCCGCCGAATATCAAATGAATTAAGACAATACTTTTTATGCAATTTTATTGATTAGTTTGAAAGTTGCTTTTTAAAAACAGTTATTCCCAAATTAATACAAACAATACATTTTATTTGTAACCGAACCTTAAGTATGACTTATGACTCTTAAGATCGTACATCTTTAGACTGAGCTCTCTGAGACTCAATTCTTATGACTTTTGACCAATATCTTTCTGTATATAAGACTGTTTAATGTTCACTTTCAATAACAGAAGTTCATGTTCATGTTCAATAGAATCCACATGGAAATAAATACAACGCGACAAAAATACATAAATACAAAACGAAATTAACGCGTCAAAAATGGACCTAATTCCTCACTGTAGGTGTATAAAACTCTACAAGGTACTCAGAGATACGAATATTGAAATAATTACGATTAAAGGAAAATTTTAAAACGCCCTAAAAACAAATTTGCTAATTTCATTGAAATTTATTGTCTTGCCGATTACCCGATCATGAAACTTTTGTGTATTTTACGAATTTTTAAGAATCTTCACAGCTCCACTTTGCTGAATACTTAGTTTCTAGCAATATCAGAAATAAAGTTATTTAGTTATTGTTCAAAAGTCCAAAAAGTACCAATGGCAATGTGCGGTGCATAATAGAAATGAACCACATTACAGATTCATTGATGCTTAAGAACATTTAATGAAAATTTCTTAGATAGGAGGTCATAGAATTTTTATTTGATTTGTATTTGAAACTAATAATCTCTGTTTTTAGATGGACAGTTGGGTCATACCCTGAAGTAAAACAAGAAATTGAAATTAATGAATTTGATGTGCCGGAATATGTAAAATTAGATTTCAAAGCAGATGATATGTCCAAGACAAATGGGTTATGCTGCAATATTTGCAATAAATCTTTTATAGATGTCCTGCAGCTAAACGAACATTTGCTCACTCATACAGAGGACCGCCCTTATGCATGCGATATTTGCAATTTACGATTCAAATGGAGAGGAAGTTTAGCTCAGCATCGAAATACGCATACGAAACAAAGACAGTACGAGTGCAACATTTGTCAGCAACAATTTTTATACCGTACAGGTTTACGTCTTCATTTGGTAACTCACTCAGAAGATCGACCGCATGCATGTGACTTTTGCAATGCAGCATTTAGGTCACCATATGAGCTAAATGCTCACCGAAATAAGCATACGAAGGAAAAACAGTACGACTGTGAAGTTTGTCATAAGAGCTTTTTATCATTTCCAGGTTTATGGAGTCATAAGGCGGTTCATTCAGATGATAGACCATTTGAATGCGATATTTGTAAAATGAGATTCAAACGAAAATACGATTTAAAAATTCATCGAAATTTGCATACGAAGGAAAAGCAGTTTCATTGCAAAATTTGCAATAAAGCTTTCACACGTTCAGGAGCTGCAAATAGACATTTTAAAACACATTCAGACGATCGTCCTTTTGGTTGCGATATTTGCCACTTTAAGTTCAAAGCGAAACGTAATTTAGAGAAACACCAAAAGGTTCATAAGAAACAGGAAACGGTGTGACTCGATTTCTAAATGAACGTTTTTAAATATTTTCCGGTTTTAGCTGCAAACGAAAACAGAACTTAAATCATTTAAACCCCAAAT